ACCTGTCTTGCTGCCACACAAGACATACTTCTGTTAATACCTGCTTTGTGGTCCTGACTCTGTCTCTAAGTTGACGACACTTTTTCCTGCTGACACCCGGTCCTTGTTCATCCGGCTTGGTTTTCCTGAGGTCTCCTGCCCTCTCCTCCGCCTTCACCCTTTCCAAACTAGCTCCTGGGCATTTTCTTCTGGCTCACCTCCTTGTTTGCTGGCTTTTTCTTCACCTTTGTGTATTTATTGTATTCTGTGTGTGATTAAATTCGTCCATAGAGTTCTTGGTTTCATTCGTTTAGTTTTCCACTTCTAGTGTTTTCCGTATGGTTCCAGGTCATCGTTCCATTCTCTGCTACAATCCCCAGTCTTGTCTTCCTCGATCTCTCCGGCTGCAGCAAGTGTATTATCTTAAATGTTGTGACAGCTCTGTGTCCTCCCCTGCCTGGTGAGCCTGCATGCATTCGTGCGCCTGTCCTTAGCAAGCAGGCCTTCCAGCCGCGTGGACGTTAACTTAGCACAGCTCCGTGGAGCAGTCAGAAGGGCATTTTCTCTGGCAAGGCAGGAAACATTCCAGACTCCCTACAACACACAGGTTTCGAGTCCCATGTGTAGGATTCTCTGAAGTGTGGCCTCTTTGTCTGCACAGGCCATCTGTTCCAGGAGGAATGGGCCGGACTCCATCCTGTGCTGGGAGGGGCTGGACGTTAGGGCCCTTGAGGTGATCCCGCCTTTCTGATCCCTGCCCAGCAAGGCAGGGATTTGAGAGAGAAAGGCCCGGTCTCCATTACTTGTCCCTCTGGAATGTTCCCCTGGCCCCTGCGTCAGCCTCTCAAGCGTGAGTGATCTCACACACTAGATGTTGAAAACTGTTTGATCGGCAGTGTTCTCGGGGGGGGCGCCCCCCCCTAGCTCTTATTCTCCTGTCCTACCTTACTGGCTGCTGACTCTGCCTCCACCTCTGCCAAGTCATGATGGGTGGATGCTGAGGATCATAACTCAGAAGGAGAGGCGCAGAGAACCCGATCGTGTGTGTGAAAGTGTGTGTATGGTATGTATGGCAGTACGTTAATGTGTATGAGTATGTGGGTGCATGTGTGAATATGAATGTGTCTATACGCTCATGGGTATGTGACCATTCTGTTATACAACTCAGCAATGCAAAGTGCGGCTGCCATTCAAAGGTCCCTATTAGTCATAGTGTTGTATAACCATGATGGGCAATCTTAGAATGTTTTCATCAAACAACAAACTAACCAACCAATAAACAAAACCAACGCAGACCGGGTGGTGGCAAGCCTTTAATCCCAACACTCGGGAGGCAGAGGAGGGTGGATCTCTGTGCGTTCGAGGCCAGTCTGGTCTATAAAGTAAGTTCCAGGACAGCACACATTAGCTGTTGTTCTCATTCTCCCTGCCCAGCCCCAGAGATGCTGGATCAACTTTATAAGATTTTTGCCCTCTTGCAGAGGACCTAGGTTCAGTTCTCAGAGCCCACAGCTCACAACCATCTGTAACTCCAGTTCCAGGGCCTCTGACGCCCTCTCCTGGCCTTTGAAGATACTCACACATGTGGTGGGTATATATGCAAATAGACAAAACACTCATACAGATAAAAATCAGTCTTAAGAAGGGCATCAGGGCACCAGGGCACATGCCTGCAATCTTGGCACTTGGAGGCTGAAGTCAGAGGACTGACTGCCCCGAATTTGAGGCTTGAGACCAGCCTGGGTTACACTATAAAATATAGTCTATAAATAAATAAATGGCAAAAGCAGAAACATTGACTTCTGGGCACGGTGTGGCTGTTGCACTCTTGGAGACAACAGTTGTGATTTCTTGCACATGACTCAGTCATGGGACTGGGAAGTGGTCTCCTGGTCACACCCCTCTCTGAGGATTTACACCTAGGATATGTTCTTCACTGGTAGGATGTCTATGCTCCTGTAAACAACCCTACTGAGACTCATTTGGAGACATACACACACACACATATACGTGTGCGTGCACACACACACACATACATACACACATACACACACATATACACACATACACACATATACACACATACACACATATACACACATACATGCACACATATACACACATAAATGCACAAACACATTCACACATATATACATATACACACATATACACATGCACACGCACATATATACACACATACATGCATATACACACATAAATACACACATATACGTGCACAGATATACACACATACATGCACACACAGAGACACACATATATACACATACATGCACACATATATGCACATATACATGCACAGAGTAGGAAGACTAGATAGGAAGAAGATGGAATTAGTTCAAGTAAAGGGGAGCAGGAGAGGACTCTGGGGACTGGATATGATGAAATACACAACACATGTATGCAATTGTCATAAGGAAACTTTAATATATATAATTAACATATGCTAACACTTTGAAAGGTCAGGAGTGTTGGGGCATACCTGTAATCCTGGCATTCAGGAAGTGGAGTCAGGAGGATCAGGAATTCAACGTCAGGCTTATTCATACATAGTGAGTTCAAGATCAGCCTGGCCCACATGAGACCCTTCTTAGAAAAGGAAAAAAGAAGGGGGGAGGAGAATAGGGAGAAGCATCAAATGGGCCCCAGAGCAAATGCTGCCTTCTTCCCCAAGGTGGCCAGGACAACTGTGGATCATGTGTACCCAGGCCACAGGACGGGGGAGCAGGCAGCCAGTAGCCCTTGAATGGGGCCAACACGTTCCTTCCACGCCTCTTTGGGAAAAGCACCAGCCCCCACTTCCAGGCACCTGCAGGGCCTGTCTCTGTCCAGCAGCCTCCACACTGTGGAGAAGGGATCTCGCTTTTGATCAGGGCTCTTGTCCACCTGCTCCGTTTTGGCCCCATCCCAAGACTGGGTACGGCCACATGGGCTCCCAGCACCAGCGTGGCCACATGGGCTCCGGGCACCAGGCAAAGTCAGAAGACCAGCTGTTTGCCAAGCTGCTGATCCTAGCTTCCAAGCCAGCTGCTGGAAGGTGGAAAGGAGGGCTGCCTGCCAACCTCGTTGGCCAGCATAGAGAAGTGCCTACCCTCCACTGCGGGGCCAGAGAGGGGCTGTTAACAGTGTCCAAACCCATGGGCCATCACAAGCTTCACTGTGATCCCCAAAAGACACACACACACACACCCTGACCTCTCAGTGTGTCCATTCACAAATCCCTTTAGCAGGTGTGTTTAAGTTAAATCTTCAGTGAGTCCTGGATTTAGGGGAGACCCTAAATGCAGCCCTAAGTGTTCCTGAAAGGCAGACAAGCTGTGGGAAGCAGGTCACTGGGAGTCAGGGCAGGAAGACTGATATGGTCCCTCCCTCCAGGCGAGGAAAGCCTGCAGACACAGGTGGCCGGAAGTGCCCTCCCCCACCCTTGCTAGGAGCACTACGTCGCTCACTCACTCACTCGCTTGCACCTGGATTTTGAACTCTGACCTCCAGAGGTTTGTCTGTTTGAAGGCACCTGGTTGGTTTCTAGAGTTTTGTGCCACAGCCCCAGGACAGTCATACAGATGTCCGGGCAACAGTGCAGGCCCGGGGCTACCCGCTCTGCTAGCCCCAGGGCCCCACACCCCAACACAGAAGAATAAACTATGTCCCGTCACTACCCATGAGTCTCCAGACCCTGTCCACAGACCAAACAGCTCCAGTGTTCAGTTCTACTGAACCATACTCAGGGAATCCACATCTCCCTGGTAGGAACTGGCGATTTGGGCCCTGAGGACAAAGCCAAGGACGCAATTGGCCTTTAAAAGGCAGAAGGTGACTGCTAGATGGGATGAGGGAAGGAGGAAGACTCTATCCAGTGAGCAGACAAGGAGGCCAGCTTGCTGTAGGTCGCCACGGCAAGTTTAATGTTTTCTGGACAGAGCAGGGCAAAGCCTCCACTGCAGGCACACCCAGGGGAACCAGCTTGCAGAAGCCCCTTCAGGGGTGGTCTCTGCAGACACTGAGCCCCAACAGTCAGACGCCCAGGGCCAGCAGACAGCAGCAAACAAGGCTTGATTGGCACAATACAGCCAGTACCCAGGCCCTGGTCATCAACACGGGCCGAGATGGGCAAAGGACACGGTTTCTCTGAGATCTGAGAATCAGCCCTGAAGCTCTCCCTGAGTCTGGTGGCAGGATATGAATTTCATGTTTTCTCTCCTACCACGTCAGAAGTGACCCAGACATAGGTAGGATGTACTCTCCTGCTTTAATTGGCTCTCCCCAGCTCCAGCACCACGTTGCCATAGGTTGGCTAGAGCTGTGCCAGGCTAAGTGTCCCATCAGACTAATCAGCTTCTGCAGGCTAACGTATCAAGCACCCAGACAGGACATCGAACCAGCAAGACGGGGCACAGGCTGATGAGGGGCAACTTGATGGACCCCAAATCAAAGGCCTGATGCCTTCCATGGCTATCCATCCAAAAGAAGAAACAGGGAACTGGTCCCACAATAGGCAGGGGGCGAACCCTCTGAGGATCCAGAGCAGCCCAGGGAAGTGGAGGAAAGCCGAGAGGTGCTGGGGTAGGCTAGGAGCTTTCTTTCTTATAGAGAAATTTGCAGGTACAAGAATCCCTGAGGTCCCCAGCCGCTGGCCAGGAGCCTGTGAGTTGTAGCGAGCCGGATACTGACCCAGCCCGGAGTCAAGCATGGTGGGTCTGCTGCCCCTCTTGGGAGCTGACATTTGTTGCTTCCCCTCACCCTTTCACTATTGTGGCTCAGAAAGACTGACAGGCCCCTGGGCAAGGCTGCAGCAAGTCCACAGAGTTTGGAGGTCAGACCTGCTGTCCCCAAGAAAGCTCACACATGGTCTAATAGAGTGAAGTCAGCTATGGTTTCCAAACCCACAATCTGGGCTCCTCCATTGTCATCCATGGATCCATCCTTTAGATCCTCCCTCCCTCTCTCTCTCTCTCTCTCTCTCTCTCTCTCTCTCTCTCTCTCTCTC